TGTGCTTGCATATATATTCCACATATAAATACACACACATATTATTTTGATCGTTCCATATAAAATATAAGGGCTTTAGCAAATTTAGTTAACATTATATGGTTAAATAAAACTAATAACTCACCTTTTCTTAAATTAAGATAATGGTCGTTTTTTAATTTACCTTTGATACAAAAGATAAAACTACCCTTTAACATCACAATACCCTGATTCTTCCTTTTCACACTGGTTTTGCTTTCACCCATCTGAAGATGTGGAGACGACACTGCACTCTCGATCACAAATGATAAAAAAATTGACAGTAGACAACAGAATAGCTCACACCAATGGATAAATGAAATTAGAGATTCAGTTAGTAGACTACAATAATGCAAGGCAAGTTAGACTGAAAGGTATAGATTCAGGTTGAAAAATCATGAATGCAAGGTGAGGAAGTCCGAAACTGCAGCTTCTACACAAAGCCACACTAAAGCTGCAGATCCAAGGTGAGGAAGTTCAGTTAGACTTTGTTATAAGAGTCAGAGTTCAAATGAGGGTTTCCTAAGATTTTGTTTGATCTATTTTGAAAAAATAATTATGTATTTTTCATATTATTGATCTGTAATACTACATCATTGATATACGACTATATATCAATTATAAACAAGTTTATGTCTGATTGGCTGGTCATATTGATCTACAATAGTATATCAGTGATGTAAAAATATATATCACTAATATATAACCATATTAGTAATTTTAACTTATTAATTATTTATCATTGATATACAGTCGTATATCAATGATATAGTATCGCAAATCAGTAATGGAATTTTTTTTTTAATGTCTAATGTTCTCTTCATAATATTTGGAAAAAATAAAGAAGGAGAGAGAGGAAAAGCTTTGTGATGAAGATGGTGATTTAGAAAAATTAGATAAAAAATTTTAATGAAGAAAAGCACTGTATAAGAGATGAATATGATTATTAAGAAAAATTAGATTTAAAATATGATAAAGAAAATATTCAAAGATGATAAATCAGAGAAGGAGCACACTCAATATGATTTTTGATGATAAAAATGAAAGATCCAATCAGTTAAAGATTAGTTAAATTAAATATATTTTATTTTAATAATAAATTTATTTTGAGGATAAAAAATACATCTAATTAATTTTATAAATGAGCCATATTCTAAAATATTTAAAAACTTTATCTATAATTATGAGAGTTGTATTTTTTAATGTCATTAAGCTAATTTTTTTTAAAATATATATATATATATATATATATGTATATAAACAAAATGTGGTCGCAGTCTTGACCAAAAGCAACAAATCAACATAGCGACACTCTTTCTTTTCATAACGATTACGGATGCTTTGACTATATACAATTCCGTTAAAGAATGGGGGACCCGCTTGAAAATTACTTCACGCATGTAATGCCGAGTTTCAATAATGATAACTACTAGTCATATATATTCAAATTGTCTGAGTGATGGAAACACCAAGGAAAATTACAATAATTGGTATAATAAAAATTATTTTTAGGGATACTCTATAACTTTTAATCTATTAAATTTATTTCTATTATTAATTTGATCTTTTAAGTTTATTTTAATTTTTTATTTGATAACTATTATTTTAAAAAAAGGTAGCACGATTAAAATCTACTGATATAAATAATAAAACATTGATGGTAACCTTGTAAATTAATAAAAAGGGGTCTGATTGTTTAAAAAAAATAACAGGACGAAAGATAGCGTATGAGATTATATTGATAAAAGATAAATTGATTTGAGGGCTACTTAATCTCATTTAGCTACATGCATGTATATTCATAATCATCAATATACTTAATACTTTAAATTAAATTAATTTGAGAGTTAATTTGCATTCCAAAATTTTAAAAACTCACATGATAATTTAAGAAAATATAAAGGGCCAACTCAATAAAAATTAAACATAAAATACCAAATCAATAATTGAGGCACGCTTGAGGATTAAAATTTTTATTATCCTTTATTTTTGTTTAAAAATTTATATTATAAAATATAAGCATTTTTAATTCAATATTTTACATGGAGGATGGTCAGTAGAATTATCATAATGACTTGCTAATCCATATTATTTCAGTAACTAATAGATGTCGTTGTCGTTGTTAGCACTACCTAATTACCTAAAGCTCCTCAGATCATTCTAACAGACATGGTTACGAAATGTCCAAAAGTCATTATAGTGTGCTAGAGAATTGTTGTCTTAGAGTTTTTTTCCCCGCCACGTAGTTTAGGTAAATGTTAACAAGTTCAAAATATCAAACAATATATTCGTAACTTTCAAGATGGCATAAGAAAAAAAAAAACAAACATAATTTTGAGAATCCTATACCAATTATAATCAAATTTATAAGGGACTGTTTGTTTTAGCTCATTTTATAAAAAATTATTTTTTAAAAAAAATCTATTTTGTGAGTTTTCATGATATTTGTTAAAATTTTTGGAAATAATCAAAATTAATAAAAAAAATAAAATTCTTGGTTATTTTAAAAAGCTACTAAAAAATAATCTAATGTGATAGATATGAGAGAGTATTTTAAAAAAGTGGGATAAGCTAAGATATCATAAAATTTTAAAATAATATAATAATAAATTATTTTTATAAAATAAAAATCAAGGATGATAGAATAAAATTTAAAAATAACTGACCAATAATCACTTTTTTAATTATTGTAACGAAACATAAAATAATTTTTTCCTTTTATAAAATCTCTATTAAATAAATCTCTTTTTTACATAATCTCTAAACAATCTAAAAATCATTTATTTTTTAATTTTAAACAAACAAGCCCTTTAAAGCTCATGCTATAGCTATTCATAAACTATAAATAATGTCTTTCATTTCTTAAAGATATAATATAATGTATCTATAAAAATGTTTCCAATTTTATCTTAACCATAGATAAATACTGGTGTCAAACTCTTGAGTTAACTCTTCAAATTTAATATTTTTATGTTTTTAACTTATAAAATTTTGTTAACTCATTTACAAACTCGAATTAAATAAAACTTAGATAAACTCGCAAGTTGACTATCCAAGTTTATTATTTTTATATTTCTAACTTATAAAAACAGTCTGCTCATAAACTCATTAAACAAGATATGCATATATTGCATAAAACTTAGTTCATAGAGAAGGTAGGATTTGATTCAATGAAAAATAAAAAAAATATTAATACAAAAGAAAACAAAAAATACCAAAAACAAGTTGCTATGTTTTGAAATTTCTATGTATGAATGTAGATGGATTTAATTTCAATGGTTTATTTTTCAATTATTTAATTATTTAATCATATATTTTTAAAATTAATTTATTGATAAAGGTAAACTCAATCCAAATTTACATCCCTATCATGAGTTTAACAATCTTGCATATAAATATACATAGTTTTCTGGCAAAAAAAAAACAAAGTATGTCTAGTATCTAACATATTTATAGTTGCTTTATATCAATTTTAGTTGCTTTATTATTTTTTGCCAACAATAATTCTTACATTAATTTATGCATTAATTGAAAATAAATCTTTTGCCGAAAAGTCTGGTGTAAGTGCCTGTAGAATTTGGACCTGAATAATGAAGGAAAAGAAAATGTAGCAGCCATTCATCAAGACAACTCTTGGGGTCTTAGTTTCTGACTGCAAGATTGAATTTAATTATAGTCCATAACATTATAATTGTTTTGAATTTTATTATCGTCTAAACTTTAATTTTCTTTATAATTTTCTGTCTTCCTTATAATTTTTTTTAATTTTATAATTTTAATTTTCCTGTTGTGGTTGTATTTGGAACCAAAAAAAAAAAGGTTAATTAGAAGTTCTCTCTAATAATAAGCAGATCACCTGCTTGGCAGCAAACGAGAGCGAATATATTCCATTTAAGCTAATTAATTACCCTGCAGGCAAAAGGGCCACTTGTCCTACTTGTAACATTTTTCCAAGACATCGATATTGATTGTACTTTTAAAGCGAAGAATCTAATTCTAAGTCATAAACCTTTCACGTTGGGCTGCATGATTCCTTGTCAAATCATCCATCTTGTATTGTTCTATGCAAATCGCTATGAAATTATAGGATAAATTTTGATGTTTGAGAAAAGTCTCTACATTTTCATGAATGAATGTTTCATTAAAATTAATTTCTTTATTTTACCATATACTTCCATGTTTTACTGACTTTTATTTCTTAGAAAAATAACAGATAAATCCCCTCAAAAATGAAAAAATAATAAAATAGTATCGCAAAATGGGATAATAACTTTGAAATCCTTAAAAATTTATATGTCGTAATTTTTTCAAAAATTATGTTTTTGACATTTTATAAAATAATAGAAAGCGTAGATGTTAAGACCTATTGTAGAGTTGGTATTAACCAACAATGTTATGACCAATTGTTGTTAATACTTAAAATAAATGTGTTAATTACTGAGCTGAAACTGTAATTTAACCATGCTTCCTATATTAACAATTTTACTTTAGTTATTGATAACTTTAATTTAGGTAACAACTATGTTTTTTGTTATTTCACTTAGCGTCATTCACAAAAAAAAATTGTCGGATAAATCTCTAGGAAATAATTACCGCATTTTGTGGTACTTATAAGTCATTTATCTGTTTTAATGTGATTTATTTATCATTCTCCCTTATATTTTTAATCTAATACCCCTAAGTTTTTTTAGTCAGAGGGAAAGTAAAATTTGATGCGATCTCATATAAATATAAATATATATATATATATATATAAAAGAACTCAATACAATCGGATTTGGATAATTAATTAGTTTAAAATAAAATTAATGCAAAAGCAAAATCAAAAATAACTTAGACAATTCCAAAAAGTCGTGCCGCCCTTTGAAAAAGCGATGTTCGTCGTAACAAATACAACCGTCACCTCTCCCAAATTCCTCTATAAAAGGAAGCTACCAATGGCACTAAAATTCTCATCCAAACACTTATCAAACCCATAAAAAAAAGCCTATTCGCAAGACCTGAAACAATAACTCGAGAGTTATTATGGCAACTCTGTTCTTCAACTCACTCTTATTATCATCACTTCTACTTCTTCATCAATTCTTTTTTTCCTCTTCGGTTTCTGCTTATTCTTTCAATGACGTCAAATTATGGTGCAGCCAAACTCCTAATCCTCAGCCATGTGATCACTTCTTGAATCAACACACGAATCTCCAACACAAACCTATCAACAACAAAGATGATTTCTTCAAGCTTTCTCTACAGCTCGCCCACGACCGCGCTCTGGCCGGCCATGAAAATGCTGTTTCGCTTGGCCCAAGGTGTCGGAATCAAAGGGAAAAGGCTGCATGGGCGGATTGCCTAGAGTTGTATGAGCACACCATCCACAAACTCAACAAAACCCTAGACCCTAACACCAAGTGCACCCAAGCTGATACACAGACATGGCTCAGCTCAGCTCTTACAAATCTTGAGGCCTGTAAAGACGGGTTTTACGAACTTGGGGTTCAAGACAATGTGTTGCCTTTAATGTCCAACAATGTCACCAAGTTGCTGAGCAATACTCTGGCTTTAAACAAGGTTCCATATGATGACAAACCAAGTTACAAAGATGGGTTCCCGACATGGGTCAAGCCGGGTGACAGGAAGTTATTGCAGAGTTCTTCTCCATCTTCTCAGGCCAATGTCATCGTGGCGAAAGACGGGTCGGGACATTTCACGACAGTTAGTGCCGCCATTGGTGCTGCACCGAAGAGCAACAGTGGGAGGTATGTGATATACGTGAAGGCAGGTATATATAACGAACAAGTTGAGATAAAATTGAAGAATATAATGTTAGTGGGAGATGGTATTGGAAAGACTATCATTACTGGGAGCAATAGTGTTGGAGGAGGCACAACCACCTTCCGTTCTGCAACTGTTGGTAAGAAAGAACAATCCCTTTGTCTCGTCGTTTTGGTTAAATATAATTTCTTTAAAAAAAAAATCACTTGCTCAGAAATTTTACAATATTTTTCATGAAAGAGAACTCCTCCAATTGAATTCAACAATACTCGAGTTTGATATCAACAGATAATTATATAAAAAAAACCTGTACACAATAAATCACATTTTATAAAATCTCCAAAATATTTTAAGATAACATTAGTTTTAAATTTAATTAAACAAGAGGACCTTCAGATTCAAGTTCTTCAAAACATAAAAGATCAATGAGAATATACACTACTGAGGGCTGACAAAGCTATATATGTTTGTGAAATAATATTACAGCTGTTGTTGGGGATGCCTTTATTGCGCAAGACATAACATTTAGGAACACTGCTGGAGCATCAAACCACCAAGCTGTGGCTTTACGTTCAGGTTCAGACTTATCAGTATTCTACAAATGTAGTTTTGAAGGATTCCAAGACACATTATATGTGTTCTCTCAGAGACAGTTTTATAGGGAATGTGACATTTACGGCACAGTTGATTTCATCTTCGGCAACGCCGCCGTAGTTTTCCAGAATTGCAACCTCTTCGCTCGAAATCCTCCGAACAAAATCAACACGATCACCGCCCAAGGTCGAACCGATCCGAACCAGAACACCGGAATTTCTATCCACAATTGTAAGGTCACAGCTGCCTCAGATTTACGGCCAGTTCAGAGCTCTGTGAAAACCTATCTTGGAAGGCCATGGCAACAATATTCAAGAACAGTTTTCATGAAGACTTTTCTTGATAGTTTGATTGATCCTTCTGGTTGGTTGGAATGGAGTGGTAACTTTGCCTTGAGTACTTTGTACTACGGAGAGTACATGAATACTGGTTCAGGTTCATCAACTTCAAATCGTGTTATATGGCCTGGATATCATGTGATTTCTAGTGCATCGGAAGCTTCAAAGTTCACTGTCTCAAACTTCATTGGAGGAAATTCGTGGTTGCCCGCCACTAATGTTCCTTTCACTTCTAGTTTATAGATCATTATTTTGTATGCTATATGATCATTAATTGGTTCTAATAATTCGTTGTTTTGAGTTATTGTGCCAAAAGAAATAATTATGTGTTTTCAGGTCCAAATGTTGTAATAGTGTCTTTGTGTTTTTAATTTATTTGTTGTCACTAATGTTGTTGTATCATACAGAAGTTACTTTTATTATATATAGTTCAAAGCCTTATTTTATTGTGCTGATATTGATGTTGCATTTGTTTCAGATAAACTATATGCAGTTTTGATTAATTTGTAATTGGGTTAAATAATAAATTTTCCTTTGAACTGTAGGTCTGGGATTATTTACGATACTAAACTCGTTTTCTGTATAATATTATTTTTTAACTTTTAAAAACGATACGATATTATCCTCATCATAAATAAAATGTTAACTTTGATTTTTAGTTTATAGCTCATTATTTTGTATGCAAAATGATTGGTTAAAATTCATGATTGTTTAATTGAGTCCTCCAAAATATATTATCAAGAATAGGGGTCAAGTATAGGTTAAGCTAGTAAATAATGGTGTGTCGTTTAAGCAGAATTTTTATAATAGCGTCTTTAGATTTCTTTTTGCTTTTTGTTTTGGTCGTTTGTTAGTGTTATTCTATCACTTTTATTATTAATGTTGAAAAGCTATATTGCCGATATTTCTGCCGTTAGAAAGTACTTTATTCTTGCAATCAGTAACAACTTATGTTTTTGGAACTAAGGCGCTATCATACTCTAAATGGAAAAGTAGTTACGACGAAAAAGATGTGACTTTACCGGTAAGTATATAATAATTTTTTTACCAACAATAAGTATATATTCCTGCGTCTCAAATTATAAGACACTTTTAGATAAAATCTTATATATTAATACATATTATTAAATACACTTAATAATTTTATATTTTCAAAACAAAATATAAACTTTCAAAAATACCTATAATTTAATATATTAAAAAGAGATTATAATGGACAGAAAATAATGATAGAGAGATAAAGGATAAAATTAAAATTGATGCATTTAATAAAACCTTAATCTACTCAAAATATCTTATATTTTCAAATAAAAAAAACTCCTTCAAAAAATATCATATAATTTGGGATGGAGGGAGTAATATTTAAAAATAAAACTATTTGATTGATTAATTACAAGAGTGGTTTATCAACCATTTTCCCAAGCAATGTGAATTCAATTCTCTCGAATTCATTGCTAGTAAATCATCTGATGGAAAGAAATCAAATATATTTTTTAAAATAAAATAATATCAATTATAAATTTATTCCAATATCTTGATATGTAAATAAAACTTTTTATTACCTCCTTTATTTGGAATTACAAGGTATTTTTAACTAATTTACAATCCTCAATAAGTTGGTTAATGATATTTAAATTAAAATTAAATGTATTTCTATATTTATCTTTATTTAATAAAATGTTCAATTAAACTTTTTGATTAATTATACCTCCTAACTAAGGGTTTTTTTTTAAAAAATTATTAATTACATCTTAAAAAAATATAAACTGTTTATATTTTTTAATATAATACTTAAAAAAGTACTTTATAATACTAAAGAGAAAGAGTATTATCTCTGCAATCCATCTCTTGCATTACTATCCTTAACAACATACTCTCTCCATCTTAAATTATAAGACATTTTTACATAAAATCTCACATAATAATAAATCTCATTAAAACATCTAACAACTTTATCTTTTCAAAATAAAAATATGCTTTTAAAAATATTCATCATTTAATATAATGAAAAGAAAAGTGATAGAAATTAATTGTAGAAAGAGAAATAATAATATTGAAATTAGAGCATTTAATGAAACATTAATATTCTTAAAGTGTCTTATATTTTGAAATGAAGAATCTCTTTTAAAAACATCTTATAATTTGAGACGACTTCGTTTTGCTTTAATGACCATACATGGGTCGCGCTCATTGCGCACTTTCCCTCGGCCAAACTAGGTCTTGTATATTTGACGCATCTGATTGTTTTTCTTTTTTCTTTTTTGGGTTTTGGTAGTAAAAGTTTGAGAGAATTGGATTCGAGTATGTCTAGTCTCAAAAAAATTAAAAAGTACTTACAAATCATGCATGTTGCGCACTTATTAATTATTTAATTAATATGATGCCTTGTATTATGTTGTTGGTTCATGATTAGCATATTTAATGTCTTTGATTTTTACGTGGAACCTTTCTTGACTTTTCTGCTGTTTCTTCTGGCAGCAAGTAAGTGTGTTAATTAAGCCGTCCACTGTTTTTTTTTTTGGGGTAATTTAATGGATGCTAATAGTATTTGAATGAACAAAAATGTTGCAAATCAGCCGAATCGTCGTTTTCATTTGTTAAAGGACTTGACTTTGTCCGCATATATAAATATACACAGAAGCGGATATCGATCAGGACGAAGAGAAAAAAGGTAAAAACAAAAAACAAACACGGAGAGCGAGGGCTAATAATATTTATTTGTCTGTGAAATTAATGGTTCTATAGGTAGCGGATCAATTTTTCTAATATCTAGATTGAGTATGTTCGAATAACTATTAATTACTAAGTGAAAATTTACTTATGAAGAAATTAATTATCAATGATTTGACTTTCATATCAAGAAACTTAGAGTTATTGACTTTGAGTCAGTGGCCCCCCATAAGTTGATAATGAAAAGAGAATTCCAAGTACGCAATGTAATAGGGTTTACTTGCAGCTCCCATTTAACAACTTTGGTTTCAATAAAATGAAAATTACAATTTTCAATCTATATTTTACTTTTTTATTGGGTCAAATTTATATCGTACTTTTAATTATTAATAATTATGGAAAAACTAATATGCATGTCTTTACAATTTTGCTTGATTTTAAATTAGGTCCTTGTATTTTATTTTATTTTAATATAATTAAGCCCTTATAGTTTGATCCAAAATAATAATTCTTGAATGTTAAAATTAATAATGAATTATTAAATTTCCCAAAATAAAATACTTTTGAATTTTATAAAAAATTGATTTAATATTTTTGGCAAAAAAATCATATTTATATTTATATTTATATTATTATTCAAAATTTTAATTAATCTTCCCAATAACGAAAAATCTACTATTTACGTAATGAATATGTTTGTTAATAAATAATACTAGAACTATGAAGAATGAAAGCTTGTGATTCTTTCAGCTTGCGAAAATCTTTTCTCCGAAAATAATACTAGTACTTACAATCAATGTTTTAAAAACTAGACTGAACAATGAATCAAAAAGATCAGTGGGTTATGGTTTCATGGTTCAACCAGTTAGACCGATAGTTAAACCGGTGATATAATAATTAAATAAAAAATAATATTTATATACATATATATTAAAAAATGGGTCAAAATGGTTCAACCATATCAGATTTTAGTTTTTTGTTCTGGGTCTTCAAGAAGCACCCAAGTCAAAGCAAACCAACCTAGGTCAATTGTCAGAACGGGTCAAATGGTTAAACCAAATTTTTTTTTCTCTGGATGATGGTTTGACTGGTCCGACCGCTCGGGTCGGTCTGAGTCTTAAAACAATGCTTACAACTTTAATTTAAGTTTTGAAATTACATTAAAGGATCACGATTTTTCTTTAAAAAAAAAAAAACTGCGATTCAGGGCCAGATTGGTCTTACTCGATTGGAAATATAAAATAATTTTTAAAAATCGATAGTCAAATTAAACAAATTTGTTAAGTACGTATGCGCCTTTTTTCTCACTCTCTATTTATTTTCTAACAATCACCAAATCAGATTATGAAATCCACACACAACATTAGAAGAAAAATAACACAACGTTAATATAACATTAATGAATTCGAATAATTCAACAATAAATAAAAATAATTACAAACACAATAAAACACTTTACCTTATACTCATGACTTCCCTACTAGGAAAATCATGACAAACTGAAGTAAAACAATTATAAAGTACTATTCCTCAAGTTTTCTTTACAAGTAATTTCTATCAATTTTATCAATGACAATATCAAAAAAGTATAATAAATAAAAGTGTATAAAAATTTCAAACATGCTTTCATATGATGAATCTAAAAAATAATATCATGTTATTTTTTTTTTATGAAAGATAATTTTAAAAATATTTTTTAAATGTTATTTAAAAAGTCATACCGTAACTTATAAATAAGATTAAATAAATTTTTTAACATATGCGTTATAAACAGCACCGGAGGAAGGAAGCACGCAGTTATTATATCATGCAATTTGAAAGACTGAGGGAATTTATAAGCTAGAGGTAAAACTACAGCAGCGTTTCCAAGATGAAGTAACTGTGCACATAAATGTAACATTCCTTATAGAACTGTCTCTCAGAACGAAGGTACAATGTGTCTTGGAATCCTTCAAAGTTGCATCTGTAAAAAACTGATAAATCTGAACCAGAACGCAGTGCAACGGCTTCATGATTTGATGCCCCAGCAGCGTTCCTAAATGTGACACCTTCTCCAACGTAACAACTGCTACAAAAATAATTCATAACTTGCTAAGTTTCATTTATTCTTGGTTTCATTTTAATCTTGGTAGCTATAAATGGGGTTATTAAATTGTTGAATTAGCTAGATTTATATTAGATTTGTCTTTCTTTCAAAAATAACTTTAAGCCAATATGATAGGATTTACCTTCATCTTATATATACACCTTCAATTCATTCTTTAATTAATCAATCAATGTAAAACACTTTTTTTATATACTGTAAAATTCTTTCTATTACTTTCTTTCCCCCTTTATTTATCTTTCATTTATTTATTTTTCTCTTCTCCCTATCATTTCTTTCTTCTATTTTTTCTCCAGTTCCAGATCAAATGGCTCGTATATATTAGGTGTTTTTTTATCAAAATATATAGCAAAGTAAACTAATTTGATAGGACTCCCCTTAATCTTATATACGTTTATAATTCCATCCTTAATTAATCAACACGCGAGAGCGAGAGCGAGAGAGAGAGAGAGAGAGAGAGAGAGCGAGAGAGAGAGAGCGAGCTGAACGGAAGGTAAAGGGTGGGGAGCCTCCTCCAATGCTTTTACTTGCTATGTGATTACAATCTTCCTAATACCATATCCCACCATTATATCCACTACTATAAAAAATACCCTTTTACTTCGTTTTTCCATGCTAGTTATATCGTTTTTCCATGCTAGTTATATTTAATTGATGTAGAAAATATTTTTCACATTGATTAAATAACTGTCATGAAGAGTCAACTTTCACTTTGTTTTTTTTTAAAACTTTTCTCTAATGATTTAACATAAAACTTTAAAATAACTTATGTAAAAAGTTTTTCTTACGGTAATATTTTCTTTGCCTTAATCTCCACTTGTTGGTTGTAAATTCCTACCCTCACATATATCACATATCTCCCACTACTACTCTTCAGTGCTGCATTTATAGCAGTGCTTATGATTGTGTACTTCCCAGAGTCATCTTTAACCACAACAGTTTTAGCCCAGAAGCTGAAGAAGATGATGACTGCAACAACTTCCTGTCTCCTGGATTCACCACGCTAGACCTATCCTTATAACTTGCTAGTTCTTGGTATTCAACCTTGTGCATGTGTTTCCGAACAACTTAGTGATGTTGTTGTGGGACATCAAAGGCAACATGCACCAAGCTCATAGAACTCGGCCGACACGTGTTGATATTAGTGAGAGCTATGTTGAGCCATGTCGGAGAATGATCAGCTTGGGAACATTTTGTGTTGGGATTTCAGGTTTTGTTGAGTCTGTGGATTGTGTGCTCGTAGAGCTCAATGCAATTAGCCCACGCGGCTCTTTCGCAAGGGTTTTGACAATTCAAAGCCATTCGGTCTATGGATTGCGTGCTTGTAGAGCTCAATGCAATCAGCGATGCGAGCTTAGGGATTTTTATACATAGGGAATAACAGGTGTGAGAAGTGCTTTGTTCACGAGGATTGTTTAAATTTTTGGAGGTAAATGTATCTTGATAATTTTAAAAGGTTAATGAATAAAATTCAATTGCTATAATTGAGATACTATTAAGTGAGTATAATTAGGTCATTCATCAAAATTCAAATCTCCTGATCATTGATAGGAAGCTCTTATAAACTTTATACTTTTCCAAGCCCCATTTGATTTTACTTTTGCATGCACGTTTGTCATTAATTATAATAATTTTTAATTAATTACTACTATAATAGCAGAAACAGCTCCACTTTGTTGTAAGCACAAAACTAGCTAATTAATGTCCTGCATTTCCTTGGTTTTCAAAACTTTGTCTGTTAACCAGTCAATGCATAAAATCAAAACACGGCAAGTATCCAACTAAAACTTGTTATGCATATTTCATTCTTATTTTGGCTTATGATTTATCAATTGTTAAGGCTAATTGTATTTGATAGATCCTTTCAATTTTTATCGTAGATAGTAAATAGATTGGACGCGTAAAACATGAAGTAATCAGAATTCCATATATATATATATATATATATAACATATAAATCTGTGTGAGATTGATAAAAAATATGAAGTTTTTTCTCCCTTGAAAAGTCTTAGATTTTTATTTATTTATGACGATCTTAATTATTGAAGCAAGCTTACTACTCCAGATTGATTTTGAACATAATTAATTCTATTTTATTGTAAATTGATTTATAAAATTGATTTTTATTTTTAGTATAATTGAAAACCAGGTAAAAACTATTGCTTTGAAAAAATATATCAAAACACCCTTATTACATGTTAAAATTAATTATAAATATTAAATAAATATGTGAACCCAAACCATTATTTTTTAAAAAAAATATCCAAACGCCTATATAATGTCAAAACTAATTATAAACCAAAAATCATAGTTATCTCAATATTCAGAAATTTAAAATCCAAAAATTATGCATGAAATATAAATAGGTTATTTGGTTTCATTCTTTTCATTTTGTATGCATTTCAGAGATATATGATATTTAAAACTCATAAACTAAAGCAGATTTCTTTTCATTTGAATTATACGAACATGTATTATACATTCAAATAGTGACAGCTTTGACCCGAACTGGGCTGCGCTAGCTTGTGGCTCAAGAATGGTGACCCGTTTAATTAAAATGTTGTTACTATTTACATTAATTTTAATGTTAAGTGTTAAATTAAAAAATAAAAATCAAATAGAGTTGCTGCTTTGACTATTACGTAATTTCCTGTTTTGTTTTGTTTTTGACTATTACGTAATTTCTCTCAAATATCGGCGTGAGCGGATGATGATAATTTTTCAAACTAAGACTTCGGGCTTTTGATGGAAACCTATGTGCTGAACATTCACAATGTCAAATCATCATTAAGAAGAAAATGAAAAAAGTGAAGAAAACGAGAGATGATTATGAAGTTGTCGTCTTCAACTTAATGTCACTTTCCCTTATGCCTCTTAGTCTCTGCGTTCAGTAGACAAATCATAACTTTATCTAACAATAAGTTTACTTGCAAAATTATCATATAACCCTTCAAGAATAACATGCTGGAACGCAATAACAAGTATAACCTCTCACGAATAATGACTTTGGTTGTCAGCATACATTAACAAGAATGGGTTCCAAACTGAAGGATATTAAAACAAATAATAATTTGGAAAAAAGAGTTGGTTCAGAATCTTACAAGATCTGGGCCTCGTAGAGTTTACCTAACTAGACACGCTGGATAGGACTATCGGAATCCTTTCTTTCATTGATGCACAACAGATTAACCAAAGAGAAAAAGAGAATGAGAGAAAGAACGAGTATTAAGAAGAGTGATATTCATTCTGGGTAAGTTTTCACTTCAGCCACCCACTGCTACTTACTTATAGCATGGGATATCCTCACGAAATGAGAAATTTCAATTGTCATATTCACCTCATGATAATGAAGGGAATTAATGTGATGAAATCTTCCACAATAAATGCAAAGGTAAACTTCCTATTTTGAATTCAATTTGGAAATAATTTACCATTAATTCCTAATTTCTGTTCAACTCTCATGAAATTATTACTCATCAATGCAATCTAATTATTCATTAATATATTGATTTCTACTAAGGATTCCATCAAGAATTAATTCACAATTAATTTATAATTTCCAGTCAAACTTCATTAAACCGAAATCTGAAGCTTGATAATATAGTAAATCAATTAGAGACAAAAATAAAACTGCTTTGAAAAATAAAATAAAAGAAGGGCATTTCCATACTTTTGGGAAAAAAATAATTTAACATCAACACGTGTTTGATTTAGTTTAATTCGGTTAAATATAAAAGATAATGAATGATCAAACATGGGATTAATTTCCTAGAATATTGGCATTCGTGGAAGGCAGTGCAAGAATAGGGAGGTTAAAAAATTGTTTGAAAAATTCCAAAAACTAAGGGTCACCACATGACCTTTTCTTTCTTTCTTTTAACTTTCCCAGAAAATCACTCCTTCAATCCTTCTTACCGTCTTCTCATTCCCAGAAAATGGTCTCTCTGATCTAATTTCATTCCATTTCACTTCTCTAACACACTCTCTCACTCTAAAACTTAATACAACCATTCTTTCAAATGATATGGTACAAGATCCTTTTAGGATTTTAATTATTATTGTTTGTTCCTTTAGTTCTGTAGCTATTTGATTCAATGGGTCTATGAATTAATGGCGTCTTGATTTGGCCTTTTGAGTGGTTTCAAGTTCAATTTGAGAGCTAGACATATAATTACAACATGGAACCGGACGAGAATAAGAAGGGTGAGGTTTCAGAAACAAAACACACTGCCACCACCGATACCGAGGAGAGTGGTGACGAACGTGGAGGGAGGTTTTACTCCCCAGTCGCCAGAGTTCTGTTGCTGCGACGGATGACGACGACGATGAGGAGAGGAGTAAAATTGAATTGGGTCCACAATGCTCCTTGAGGGAACAGCTTGAGAAGGACAAGGTTGCTTCTTCTCTTTTCTTCATTTCCTTTTTCCATGTTCTTAGACTAGTAGATTTGTGCCTCCCTAATGCATTTTGTGATATACCCCACCTTCTTGAATCATCAGTAGAGTTTGATATTTTTTATGAATTTTCAAAAAAAAAATTCATAAAATTATGCAATTTTTGTATTTTAATCCAAAATATCATAAAATATATTAAAACTATACCATGTAGGGATTTTAATATATTGGAATGTTTTTATTTTGTGTAGAAGTTAATGATTAAAAGAAAAAAAAAAATGAATTGAGAAAGGAAGGCATTACAAAAGACATTAAAGAGAGGCATATCAAATGTTCCAAACTCGTGCATTATTAACAGATTTTATATTTGATATTAATAATTGATAATTGTATACTATATCTTTCATGTAGAGTTAATTACTTGCGGAAGAACCGATGTCATTATTGTGTGTGTGTGTGTGTGTGTGTGTGATGCACTCTCATATTATAGTTGGTGTGTTTTCCATTGGTGCATTTAGCAATGCAGTTACATTTTGGAATACTCAAACATCTCAAATTTAGCGAGAATGATAGAGAAATGAAAAGAAATAAAGATGATATTGAATTTTAATTATTGGATTTTTGCTATCCTTATTCAACATTTTTATTTTATTGTTTTGAGTGTCTGTTTAGAACTCCTTTTTTTTTTTATCTTCTTACTTTTTTGTGATATTAATATATTCTCCATGCGAGTATATATATTGGACAAATATTTTAATTTGAAGTTCTAAAAAATACTAATGTATACTCTCTCATCATCTCTTACCATGGTCGATATACACAAACCTCTCTCTCTCTCTCTCTCTCTCTATATATATATATATAGTGTGTGTGTGTGTGTGTGTGTGTGTGTGTGTGATAAAGCGCATGATATATTATGTGTTCTGTGGTGTGATGTGTCTTAGGACGATGAGAGCTTAAGGAAGTGGAAGAAACAACTTCTTGGAAGCGTCGACATCGACGCTGTTGGAGGTATCGCTTCTTTCTTTTAATTTTTTTTTTTTTTTTTTGCAATCGTTAACTTTTTTCTTATATTCCATCACCATACACCAAACAAATCCTAAGTGTGTTAATTAAGTTGAAACTTAAAAAAAAAAATGTAGAAACCCTAGAGCCAGAGGTGAAGATCACAAGCCTTGCAATAAAGACAAGTGGGAGAGACGACATAGTTCTTCCAATACCAGAATCTGGAAAACCTGAGGGCCTCTGGTTTACTTTGAAAGAAGGAAGCCATTACAGGCTCATGTTCACATTTCAAGTCTGCCACAACATTGTTTCAGGTCTCAAATACACCAACACTGTTTGGAAAACCGGCATCAAGGGTACGTACTCATGTAAATTAATGTGCTTGATTAATTTTATGATTAATTCTCTATCCATTTTTTTCCTTCTTAAAATTAGGGTTTAGATTATCTGTACCCTTGGTGATATGCTTCTTTACTCTTTATGATCCCAAAAGAACTCTACATTTCATCAATCACATAATTAAGTGATGCTGATATATACTAATTAAGTTTTTGTCTCAGTTTTGTTCAACTCGAGATCATTCCTTATATATGCTAATGTATACTCTATATATGTGTGTATGTGTTATTTCCTGCAAAATTTTGCTTGGAAGAGTATATGGAAATATCAATTTAGATAGTTGCAGATATGGGAGTCTCAACTGCAAATCATTAGAAAATGACAGATAAGATTTAAATGCTTGATTTGTGATTGAAACTCTCGTAATTATCTGGTTGAAACTCCTATTTATTCCTCTGGTCCTATTTTATAGGGGGAAAAAAGAGAAAGAATATTTATTTTAGTCCTATCTTATGTGTCTATCTTTACCATTATTAAATGCTGGAAAAGTTACTAAATATTGGAGTATTAATTTAATTTATATTTAAAATATGTATATTTAATGGAAGTAAAGTTGAAAATTTGTTAAATTTTAGACAGTGTTAATAAATTTTAAGATATTTTTTAATTTCGGTGAAACATATTGAAAATAATTTATAAATAGGACTAGATCAAGTATATTTAAATCAATATCTGCAACTAATTTTTTAGCAATTACTTGAAGCCTTAATTATCATAAAATTAATCATTTGGGACCTGAAGTGTCATTTAATCCACCCCACACACACACACGTTGTTTGAAGATCAGATCAATGATTTGGGGAGAAATTAAGTAAGTGAAATGAGATAATTGAGAGATATATACATGTGCTTACAGTGGACAGCACTAAAGAGATGATTGGAACGTTCAGCCCACAGGAAGAAGCTTACACCCACGAAATGGCTGAAGAGACGACACCGTCTGGCTTGTTTGCCAGAGGCACCTATTCAGCTAAAAGTAAGGTAATTCATTTTTTTTAATCAATTAATATTTCACGTCCAGGTATATATGATCAATTGTTCATTTTCATTCTGAGACTTAGCTTGCTTAAGAAAATCAAAAGATCCGAGTACAAGTTAATGCCTAATTAATTTGCGTTAATTAACCAGTATACTAATGAATAATTTGGAAGGAATTCTCTCTATAGTACTTGGCGTAGTTCAAGGATGGAGCCAGAATTTAATTATGAGAGGGCTGAGATTGATAAGCAAATACTGGATTTGATTTTATCTATACATTACTTATTCTAATTACTTTATCAGAATCAATCAGATGCAATTAAACTATCGATATTGTTTGAAAAATATATAAATTTTAGTTTATCTTTATTAAATGCATCATCTGATCTTTAAAAACAATTTCTTTCTCATATATAACATTATTTTACTTTACTCAAAGACAATGACAAAAAGGTAAAATTGAAAAAAAAAATTTAAAGATATACCTTTTTGATGCAAAGTTAATTATAAAAAGGACTACTAATTTCTTGTAAAATGTGACTTATATATAGACTGTAAGGAATATATTTAGTATAAAATTTGTAAGAATTTTAGAGTCAAAAAATGTATAATACTTAAATAATACTGGGAAAAAAATTGAAAACTCTACGTGCTTATTAAATGAAACCTACTACTGCAAATTGCAATAGTGAGTTTAATTTTTCCTGGCGGTGCAAATTGCAAACAAAGTAATAATCAGGGTTGATAACTATAATTATTGTAAGACATTTACTAATAAAGATTGATTCAGTTAGCAAGAAGTTAACTTAATTATATCCCATTAGAATATGTGTAGTCCGATGCAAGCCTTGCTCACTCCAAATATAAGGATCTTATTGGTAATTTGATGTGCTTTTTTTTATAATTTTCTATGAGCTTTCAAAACCGACATGCAACTAAATTTGAAACAGATTTCTGACAAGCATTAATGTTGTTTCTTGATTTTCAGTTTGTTGACGATGACAACAAATGCCACTTGGAGATCAACTACACTTTTGATATCCGAAAGGAATGGAATTAAATTTAGTTAGGAGTCAATTAATTAATTGATTTCTTTAATTTGACGATAATATTGTTTAATCCTTCATCGTTAATTGTTCTTCTGGCTCTAACGCTCCTCAATGTTTTTTTTCCATTAATTGGTTATTTCTTTCTAATCCTGTCTGAGAATAGTAATCTTAACGATGAGGAGAGGATCACAACATTGGTTATCATTTGGTAGATTTAATTTTTGTCAATAAAATTGAGTTCTTCCTGCTTTCATCACCACTATGGTATTTCTTTTCTTGTGTACAATATATATATATATATATATATTAACTCTAAGTTTAAAAATATAAGGTATTTTTAATCGAATTCACTCTCTAATAAAGTAATTATCTACTTTTCAACTAACTCTAACTTTTTATATTTATCCCTATTAAATATCGTACAATAAATATAAAGTTATTATCAATAGGGATACTTTTTTAAAAAAAGATAATGATTACACCTCAAAACACTAGAAATGCCTTACATTTTTTAACATTTAATTTTTTAAAAAATGCCTTACATTTTTTAACGGAATGAGCATTTGATAATTGATGGTATATATATTATTTCATTTTTCAATCTTCCAATAAAAAAAATTCAATCAGTGATCAGTGAGCTAACGCCAAAGTAGTACATTTCTATTGAAGTTATGATTTTTACAATTCAACTCAGTTTATTTTTTTAGGGAGAGAGAGAGAGAATGGGTTCTTTTAGAGTTAAGAATATGTAAATTTCATAAATTTTTTATTTTTAAAGAAGAGAGAGAAAATTTTATGTTTTATAAAAAATAATAAAATGATAAAATATTGAGACAAAAAATTCATAAAAATTCATAATTCTGATCAATTTTAGATATTTTTTTAATAGATTAAACAAGTTGGTGCAATATAATACATACCCCATGTGTTATGGTCGTAAGGTGTACTGAATGTGTTGATGGGATGGTGTGCATATGCGCGTGCTTCTCTAAATCGTAAACCTTTTCCCCCCTAAAATTTATCAATTTTTAAAAGAAAATTACTGTCATTTAAACAAATAATTAGGATTCAAACTCCAGTCATTGTATATGTATGTATCTACACATTGTTTTTAGTACCTCGTGTGGGAGATATTCTTCTGTTGTCAGTGTAACTTACTCTTTATACTTACAAAAAGAAAAAAGAAAATTATCGATTACTCTATATAGTTACACATTGTTTTGTACTTTATTATAAGATAAAAATTAAAATATTTATAAATTTATAAATAACCAAAAAAACAAAATGCAGTTTAGACAGTTTATATATACTATTTATTTATTGAAACTATGAGGAAAAAAAAACCATACTGATTAAGATTGATCGAAACTGAGGAAAAATAAATCATAATTCAATTACTATTTTCACACTCTTCTTTTCCCTTAAACACGCACACGAATATACATTAGTAAGAGTGTCAAGTTTACCAAAGCCAGAGTATGCTTCCAAGTTTAAGGAATACTAACAATGGTATTTACATATTATCCATCAACAAAATCTCTACATTAACAGTGAGATTTGAACCTACAACCTTATGGGTTATAGATTTAAAATTTTTAAAATTGATATTCATGAATTTATGTGAAGTTTGTGTTTTTATATGTTTCTATAAAAAATAATAAAATGCGAGAAAATACCCAAAAAGAAAAACTTTACACAAATTCAAGGTATCAACTTTAGAAAATTTAAATCCCAGAAGAATAAATCAACCATGCATGGTTTACGCATGCATCATGATTTATTGTAATTTTTATTTAGTTCTTGTTTTTGTGAAGGTTATGGGAATCAAGTGATGTGAGTGTGTTGTGGACGCAAGTAGCACCTCCAAAAGCTTTTCTGAGACGTATATTGAATAATAACAATCAAACAATGAAATCAAGCGTTAAAACTGGAAGGCTAAAATTCGTCGTTTTCGTCACAGTTGCCACACCACCTCTATTTTCAGGATTGGTGCTTAAGTTGTCGAGGCCAAAATTTTGAGTATAGTGATTACTGGTTAGTTGAAGTCATGTGTTGTCGAGGCCGGTGCAAGGGAATTAATAGCTATAGGGAGAGCATGTTAGTGTGAACATGAAATAAACAGATCACACATGAGAAAAAATAGAATGCTCAAGTGTGAAAAAATTGTAACAAAAATAATGGGATCAGCTTAACTAGAAAACTCAAGTTTAAATTTTGAAGATACAACGGCCTCAGTGTTAGAGCTTCCATCGAAAATGGTCCTAACTTAACTCGATTTGGATTAATTTGGGCCTATTGAAGTCTGCTCAACTTAATGTGAGACAAGTTTAAGATATATACCAGGTACTCAACCAAAAAAAAAAAAATAGTAACAAAAAGTATCTCATTTAAAAGTAGTAACAAAGAATATTTATTTTCTCTCAACTTATTTAAATGTATATAATTTTATTTATAGAGTAAAAAGAGATTATTAATTTTGGTTCTATTTATAAGGCATTTCATTATTTTCTATTTTCTATGTTTATTGTTACCTTTCTGCTTTTATTAAATATTGCTAGGAAAACATATTAAAAATGGTTTTTTTTTGTCTTTATGAATGAATAGATGTGAAAAATTATTAAATTTTAAGAAAGTTAATAAAGTTTTATGTTTTTCTTAGTTCAAATGAAACATACTAGAATTGATTTATAAATAAGACTAGAAGAGTATTTCTTAACTTAAAATCAAATAACATTAAATTTATGAGTTATTTTCTCTTATATATATATATATACTCCCTCTTGTTCCTATTATAGGAAACTTTTTTAAAAAAATCTTTTAATCCTTAATATAAAACACTTGACGGGGATATTAATTACCTTTTTTTAATATTACCTATAATTAAACTCATTACCTTTAAAAGAAAGCGTTGAAAGCTTTTAAAGTCCTCCCTAAGGACCAGCTTTGTGACAGAAGAACTCGAAGAAGTTCTTTGACTCCATCAACGGATGACCACCCAAGAGATAAGTGAAGGGGTGGTTGGCATAGAAATTATCTAGGAATGGCTCCTGTTGAAGGTTGGAAAAGTAGGCCGTCGTCCACAACTTCAGAAACCAGACGGGCCCATGGAAGTTGCTGAAGGGCTTCTTGATTAGCGACTCCCTCATGCCATTATAGAGATGACATAGAAATATAGTCCCTAGGGCTATTTAGTTGCTATAGAGCAGGGACTGGGTGATCCTCAAATGCAACTGCACGAGGCCAGGATCCATTGGCTTAGCAAGATCCATATGAAGACCAGGTCTTCTGTGATTGTGACGGGCTTAGAGGCTGGCTTCTCAAAGAATAGCTCCATAATCTTTGTATAGGAGCCTGCAGCCCTCATCTCCCTCTCCAAGTCAACAAGGAGGGTAGTGTAAGAGTCGTGCTTATCAGAGATTGCGTAGAAGTTCTCCTCCCCAATGATGGGCAGCCCCAAGAACATAAAGACGTCCCATAGTGTGAGGGATATTGGACTGAGCTCGAAGATCAAGGCATTGCAACTCGAAGCCCAGAAGTTGAGAAGGGTCGTTAGAAGGTCCACGGGGACATCGACATCGGCCAGAGATGGTTGAATCAAGTAGTATAATCCCATCTCCTTCCACTGAGGCGCATGATCTGATTTCAAACACCTCACCCAGTTGACCCAAGCATGAGGAGACTGGGGCCAATTCCTAAGCTTTCTGCAGGATGACTCGGGAAAGGGTAAGGTCGTTCGGGCCAAGACCAGGTTGCGAAGAGAGGTTAATGGCCATGGATTCGGTTACGTGGGAGCAGTGACTTTGGACAAGTCAGGAGAAATCGTCAGATACTCGACGTCGCTTTTGTTAGAGACTTGAAAACTCTAAGGCAAAGTGCTGGACAAAAAGGAAGCAGAGTTATGCACCTTTCAATAAAATAGAAAGGCTAAACACGAGAAGCAAAAAACTCACTAAAAGCTACTGATTCGTGGAATGACAAATCCTCTTCAAAAGAAGTGAATGATTATTAGAGTAGGAAACCAGTCTAAAAGAAAAAAAAGGGTTTTCCAAACAATAAAATACATACCGTTATGAGCCCACCTAGTTGGTTTACCGAGTTTTGGATAGTCTCCAGAGACTACCAGCAAAAGTAGAAGGTGCGACGGTGGAAGAAATAGCAGAAGCAGATGAGGCCATTTGAGGGTTAAAGTAAGAGAAATGTAGCAAACTGAAGACTTGAAGTTCAACAAACAACAAAGAAAGCAAGAGAAGTAGCCAGAATTTGGAAATAAGCTTATATCAGCAGAAGGTGCTTAGAAGCAAAGCGACATTTTAATTTTTTCAAACGTGCCACGTGGCTTTTGTTACTAGCTATTGGCACGTGGGGGACATTGTTTGGGCCAAATATGAAACGTTGCTCAAATAGGTCACGAGGCTAGTTTTGCTGAGTAATTGAAACATCAGGCCTAATATAAACTAAAGAGGCCGGCCCAAAGCTCAATAAAGTCTACAACAAATAAACATGTCAAAATTCTATCAGTTTAAATATTAGACCGTTAGCACAAAGATGCGATCCTAAGTAATGTCGAAGTCTACGCCCAAGGAGTTTGGTAAAACGGGTTGTTTATTAAAATGGAGAGACCATGCCATAAGTTTTACGAAATTTTTGATTCTTTGGTAGAACTTGCTAAGTCTCAAAGAAAAGACTTCTGCTATTCGACACTATAAATAGAAAAAAAAATAGAGAAAGCTAGTCAACACTCAATCAAGACTCACATAATTTACATTTACTAGTCCTTTTCAATTCTTAGTTTTTAATCTATAATTTTCAATACTTTAATAAAATTACACACTTGTTTTACCAAAGCCTATTATCTTTTTATATTCAAGCAAACTGTGGTAAGAAAACTCGGGACCCCTTTCATTATCTATTGAGACTCAACGTCTCTGGCACACCTGTTATTTATTGTTCAACCACAAACACAAGGCATGGCTACTTCAAGTGATAGTATCTCTGTTACTGCCATGCCATACCCAAGCTTGCTCCCAAGGGCTTTCTCAGACTGTTAGCCATCTTACCATTGAACTTCCTCTTTCTCACTCTTCCTCTCTCTCTCTCCCCCCATACTGTTCATCTTAGTGGCTCCATCAGTTTCTTCATCTCTTGGATCGCCAACTTCAAGCTTCTTCTCTTTGCTTTCGATAAGGGTCCTCTGCGTTCTCAACCGCTTCTCTCTCGCTCTCTCTGCTCATCGTCCTCGCCTCCTTGCCGG